TGTTGAAGAATTCAGACCAACAGATAGTATTGACGACTCTTCAGCTGTTGAACCAACTGTTCTCAGCCCTCGACTACAATGGAAAGTCATATTTGCTTTTCTACGGCGAGTTTGGCCGCCATTTGATTGACGTCTTGAGGCAGAGATTGCCCGCAAGTGATGAGAATGTCATCAAAGATGTCTTATATCTGATTACAATTGTCAGTCAGACTATTGTATGGGTCGATGAGAATACAGCTTACGATAGCAGTAGTGGTCACTATTGTGATCATCTCATTTCAGGTCTGCTCTGTCTTTGCAATTATCTCTCTGACAACCCATTGATGGTCATGTCGTCCGTTGAAGAAGTCCTCAACAATAGCTCCAGATGTCAGCTCAAGAATCTGTTGAACAGAATCGTTGTGTTCTCTCAATTCCAGACCAATGCCCAGGTGTTCACTGCCCTCCACTATCTCTCACAACTTGTCAATCAGTATCTCAATGAATATATTCTTAAGTTGGCTACAGTTCCCCAATCTCTGGTCTGCTTTTAATTGAATGCTAACAAAAGTTATTCTTATAATTACTCGTAAAACATAGCAGTTATGTATAGTTTGTATCTAAGTATTTGTAATTATGTGCATTAGATTTGAAATCGTTTTTGAATATATATTTTCAATTATTTATTTGTTTATAACTGCATTCATGTTTTAATTATTGTTTATAACAAGAATATATTATTATTATATGTAGAAATCAAACCTTTTATTATGTATACTACATTTGATATATTTTTATTGTAGTTTTAATTTTGACTTTTTTTGTTTGACATCCAATTGTTATGTTCTTGTCTTGACTATTATCTTCAAATTACATTTAATAGTTTTGCTAACGATTTGTAATGACATATACTTTTATTATTGATTTACTGTATGTTTCATTTATAAGCACTGTTTTGATTATTTTTGCATCAGTAAAATAGATTGTAATTAAAGGCCAATCATTACTAATCATGATATCTGGAATGAATACTGTAGTTATATTTTTATGTATTAAAATATAGTTTGTTTTAAAATATTTTTATATTTGTAATCACTTTTAAGTAACTATCAAAAAATAAAGAATCTGAAACATTAACCAAGAATATTAATTATTGAAAATAATTAGATCTTAATTATGAATAAGTTTTAATCGACAATTTAAAAGTGTTTCAAAGAAAATATATTTTATTGAATTTTGAGTTTAATTTAGTATTTTGTACACAATTTCATGGATGGGATGTGAGGTTCGAGTCAACAATTTTCAGGACTTTATTTAATCGCAAATATAATTACAATTCATCGGAACATCTCTTCTTACAGTCGAACAATACTGGCGCTAATCAGTGATTTCCTATACAAGCGAACAATAGCGGGCAGTGCGTGGATTCCAATGGTAATACTGGTGGCATTCCTATTGTCTGCGCCCATCACTGGTTTCATAGCCCGAAGGAATCGCTACACGCGATCCGTTATACTTACGGGTTGGACACCAATTCTGGGCGCTGTTATCATTGAACAACCGGGTGGTCTGGTTATGGAGAATGCATTTGACAAATACGATGTCATGTCTACTTTTCAGCCACTAGTCAATGGTATAGAATCTCATTCTTTAATAATTAAAATATTATAATGCCTCTAATTATATAACATTAACTCTAATTATGAAACCATTAGGAATTGGGAGTAATTTAGTGGGAATCCAAACGAGTCGGTTGTCAACATTTCTGCACCAAACGTCACCCAAAGGAAAGTTACCCAAAAGTAATCCGCGCGCATGTATTCAACCATTTGCCACATTCCTCGGCAGCGGTAAACATATAACTTATTAAGATTATAAAAGGCAATTAATTTTATATTAAATTTATATTTTAATCTTTTCTCCCTGTATCAGATGTACACTCCAGAATGGCGCGCCTACTTTTATTCATAACTGTGCCTGCTCACTTTCTCTACTTAGTAATCATACGATTCTGGCAAAACAACTTCATATTCACGATCCCATTCGTGTTGGCCTACATGGTAGCAGTGGTCTCACAGGTAGCTATATTGCTATACCTGGCTTATGTGAGTGTGTTGTGGGCCTGGAAGCGACACATCAATCCGGACAACTCTGCCATTCCCTTCACGTCAGCCCTGGCAGATGTATTGGGCAATTGTCTTATGGCCGCCGCATTCACTTTCCTCAACGCCATCAATGATCCAAACGCTATGGTTAACGAAGAATCGGTGACTAACTCTACGTTAACTACATTCACGTCTAATCTTATGGACACTACTATTAGTTATACCTCCTTTTTGTAATTAAATTAATCAATCAATTATAGTATTTTAATGAATATATTTATTGTAATATAAACTATAATATAATTTTAGGAAAATGTATATTTAATTTATTACTTGTAATGAAATAATTATTTGTAAATATACCGGTGAATAAAAATTAATATAAATAAATATTTCCTATTTTTGTTTATATTAGTCGTTATTTTTAATAAATAATTTTTTATTCAAATATAATTTTTTAGCATTACCGGTAGTTACCAAACACTATCAAAAATGTGATTTGAATTAAATTAGACAAGCCTTTTGTGGATTCATTAAATAAAATACTGTTTTTAGGACCAAAAGGAGAACACATTGACCTCAATTAATACCTTTGAGTTTATATTAAATTTTATCCAAATATTCTGTGCGTAAATGCTTACTGTATTCAGTAACATTGGCCTCAATCATACATCAGTAATATTAATTTGTGTATAGCTATGGATTCTTTCAACACTTTTAACCCAATCTACATAATCATTGAATTATAATCGGCTCTTAAATGCTATTAGTATTAAAAATTCAGTAAAATTCTTTCACAATTCTTGAAGTATTTTATGACTTCTGTTGCACTTACTGTAGAGAGAGAGAGAGAGAGAGAGAGAGAGCCTACAATAATAGTGAAATGTTGTGAATACCAGTATATGAATGGTATACGTTGAGTACATTTAATAAAAATTAATTAGAAATGAAAGAAATCTGATAACATATAATGTGTCCTAAATCTACCCATCAATACTTGTAATCGTAATCTCTATTAATTCATATTCACAACACTTGTCGCTAATCAGTTGCTCTTCAATTACAAGTCATTAATTAAGGCCTTTTCAGCACAAGTAGCATATAATTTTTGTCACCATAAACCTTATACTTAATGCAAAATTTAGAAATTAAAAACAAGTTTAAACATAGCTAAGATAATACTAATCCAAATCTTGTTTTAAAATATAAATATACAAATGCTTATCACGAGAACATACCGCACAAAATCTATCCTTAAAATTCAGTTTTTTATACATTTCTTAATCGGAATAAACATTTTTGCGTCAAACAAATATATTTTTCATTAACTATTTCTTTGATTAACACTTTACTATAAAAGACAGGAATTTTCACAACATTTGTCACAATTTTTTCAGGACTTATATCGAGTGAAACTATTTTCTAAATTTATTTTTTTGCATAGATTTCTAACCATGCAAAAGGTATTTGATTTAATAATCTTTTAATAATTTTTCATTTATTAGTTAAACTTGAAAACTTTTCTAAACTTAAGTGTGATTTAAAGCAAAATTATTAATAAAAATTCTTATTTATTCCCAAAAAAAGTTATTTATTTTAACAGTAATTGCATTGAATTGCAATGTATTATGGGCTCAGTTCGTACACCAGGGACTGGTAGGTAACCAGTTCGTACACCAGGGACTGGTAGGTCACAATAGAATCATTGGTCGATCCGGTCATCTCGTACACGCCGGAGGTTTGGTAGCCGCCCAGCCGGCTCTTCACGTCGGACACGCCATCCGCACGCATGCCGTGGCCGCCGCCCCCGCTTTCGCTGTAGCCGCGGCTCCGGCTTTCCGTGTGGCTCACGCGGCACCAGTAGGCCTGGCCGTCGGTGGTTTCGGTCTGGCTCACGGACACCTGGGTCTGGCTCAGGGACACCTGGGTCTGCGAGCAGCCCATGTGGGACATGTAGGACACGTCCAAAACATCGGACCCGTGACGGCCGCCATCGAGACCCGTCGCACCCATCAGGTGGTAGACGTGCCCACCAGTCAGGACGTCATCCAACCCTCCACTCTGATCGTTGAGCCCAATATATTGCCCGTCAATATTGAGTTCCGTTCGCAGTCCAGTCCAGTGAACGTCAATCAGGTGCACATCCCGGGCCGTCCGGGCGAACATCAGGCCACCCGATCCGAGGAGGAACCCGACCGACTCCTCCACGAAGTCGTCAAACCCGTGATCCAAGAAGTGCGCGAAACCATCGTTCCCTTCCGACGCATCACTCAAGAGATCCTTCCCGTCCAGGAAGAGGTACAGACCGTTGTGGCCAGAGGTGAGCGCCAACAGGTCATCGCACAGCCCCAAGTGGTGGCCCAACCCGTGGCCGTCGCCCAACGTGTGGCCGTTGCCGCACCGGTAGCCGTGGCTCAGCCAGCTTTCGCTGTCGCGCAACCCATAGCCGTGGCTCAGCCCGCCTTTGCCGTCGCCGCCCAACCGGCGCTGGCTATCTCTCAGCCCATCCACGGTGTAGTGGCCGGTCGCGTAGGGCTTGCCTCAGCCCCCGCTCTCGCCCACGGAGGTCTCATCACAACCGGCATCAGCCGATTCGGTGGAGTCGTCGCCAACGGAGGACTCATTAGAGCCACTCGACTGTAAGAAGAGATGTTCCGATGAATTGTAATTATATTTGCGATTAAATAAAGTCCTGAAAATTGTTGACTCGAACCTCACATCCCATCCATGAAATTGTGTACAAAATACTAAATTAAACTC